AGGGAGCAAGCTCGCCGACGGTCCGTCAATGGGGATGGGTCCCGGGACTGTCCGCTAGAGAAGATCAGTCGGATGACTCTCCAGTGAACAGCATCGAGCAAGGATAATATCGGAATGGAGGCATCACTAGAAACACGTGAGTAGCACTCTATTCTAGGTCTTATCTGAGCCTTGTACAGAGTGAGGTAATCATGTGTAGAAAAGTTGCACTTACCCCTAAACAAATAGCCTAGCTTTTTCCCAGCGGCTGCCGCGATTAATGAGACTTTTGGAAGCTCTAAACTGTACCAGATAGTTCGACCCCTCTAGGTTTCTCGTTAGACGCTGATAGTCTTCTTTCCTTCAGCTCACCGGAAAAGATCGGCTTGGCACTCTGAATTCCTGCATGAGTGCTGTCATCAGCAAAGCTGTGGTTCGGATTGATCGTACAGGAAAGGAGGTCGCTAATATGTAAGAGGAACAATGGCGAAGCCGAGACCGGTGCCTGGGGAACACCCGCGTTGAGATTGTGGGCTAAAGGCGAGAACCCGTTAATTACGATGGATATCTTGCCACCCATCTGCGAAGCTTTTCTGGGAGGCCATACGATGGAAGTTTGCGTAAGAAGCTAGCATGTCACAGCTGGACGAACTAAAAAATCTTTAAAGTCATGTACAAAGACTTATCTAAACGTAAAATGTCTCAACTTCTATATTTCTCCGTGTCAAAATAGGGGTTTCGATTTAAGAAAATTGTATTGACCTCCAAGTGACTTGGAACGTCATAGTCAAGGTCTCGTTTACAGTAACCATCAGATAACCTTTTTCAAAATCTTACAACTTTGTTTCACAAAATTTTTCTTTAGGAAATATATTTTTGGATATTTTGATGTACCCATACTTTCTGAACCATGTGCGATGAAAGCTATCGAACAAGAAGTTCACCTGATAAGAGCTAGGAAACCTCTTTTCTTTCTAAAAATTTCTTCTCATAAAGTTTGACCCTGGTCAAATATCGTTCCAGGATACTGTTTGCGTTGCGATGAAAAATGCCGACTATAAAGAACACAAAAACTGAGAAAAACAATGGTGCGCGGTTGAAAAAGCAAATTCGAAACTAAGCGCTCTCATCAATCTCCAGCGGATTTTCTGTCAGCTCAGCTTCCATATTTACCTACATATTCGGTTGGATATAGCAATAGGCCTGTAGGGAACGGTAATCCATCAGTTTCGCATATTTTTAGAAGCAAATGTTTGTTTCTGTCACTTTGTGCCTCTATTTCTGTTTCGACTGCAAAACAAGAAGATGGCACAACTTAAAATCGTGACAGTCAACGAATTTAGACTAGGTAGAAATCGCAATTTCTCCAAAATCTGAGTCTGATGTAGTCACGTTGAAAGTGTGTAGATCTCTGCAGACCACAATGTGATTCCTGACGTGCAATTTGGCTTTCGGTCTGAGCATAGTACGGAGCTACAGGCCATAAGGCTTGTTGAACGAGTAACCAGGGGGTTCACCCATAACGAAAGTACTGGCATCTTGCTACTGGATGTCTGAAAGGCAATTGACAAGGTGTGGCACAAGGGCCTTCTCTACAAATTGATCCATAAGGGCTTCCCCTTCTGGCTCCTAAAACTTTTGAAATCCTTTCTCGAGGGTAGGAAATTTCGGATCAAAATTAATAACGTTCTGTCGACAACACGGCTCATCAAAGCCGGTGTCCCTCAGGGTTCGGTTCTTGGACCAATCCTTTATTCACTTTTCATTCATGACGTCCCTTGCCCCAGCAGCTGTGAAACCTATCTCTATGCTGATGACACTGCCCTGATGGCCCAGTCGTGCTCTGGGGATCTAGTTCACGACAGGCTGCAAAGTGCAATGGACGAGGTATTGGAATGGGCGAATCGGTGGCTGATCAAAATTAATCATTCGAAAACGCAGGCAATCTATTGTACTAAAAAACGTAGCGGCGCCCCGTCTGAGGTTTCAGTGAATGGAGTTTGGGTACCATGGGAAAGCTCTGCTAAGTATCTCGGTGTCACTCTTGACAAGGGGATAACCTGGCAGAAGCACACTGAAGCGTTAAAAACTAAATTCCAAATCTCGTTTCGGCAACTCTACCCTATGCTACGTAGAACATCAAAATTAGCGATCACTTACGCAAGCGCGGTTTGGTGTTTTCTCGCCAAAACGCATTTGCGTAGCCTGCAGGTTTCTGCAGAACAGAGCCTTGCGTACAATCACTAACGCCCCATGGTATGTTTCCAACGAGACCCTTCACAGAGACCTTGACATCCCTTACCTAAGGGACTACATCAATCAACAAGCGCAGCTACGTTACAGTCAAGCAGAATCGCATAACAACCCTTTGTTGCGCGAGTCAGTAGACTACACAGTCGAGCAAGTTCGCAAGCATGCAGTGCCGCGACTCGCACTGTGAACAAAATTAAATCGTACGGCTTTAGGTCCAACCAAAATTATAATTTTTCTTCAACAACCAATCCCAAAATTAATTTTAGGATCAATTTAAAATTGCCGAATACTAACTAGCAATGCCAAGGCACCCCTCAAATTGATGCACTTCTTTTTTCTTTGCTCTCCCTCCTTCCTTCCTTCCTTTCTTCTTCCCTTCTTTCTCCCTGACTTTGTTTGGTATCTGGGCAACCAGACCTGACAGACCTACTGACTTACAAGATTCAACCAAGAGCAAAGGTCCTACGGACCGCTCTGGCAGACAATGACGAATAGTAGTGTGTAGATGGACTTGACATAAAATAATTTTTTGACAGTTCTGTCATAAAATTCTTATTTTTAGTGTTGTTTTTTAAAGTGCGAGTGTTGCCAGATAATTATGATGTTAGACGATTTCATGACATAACGAATAGTAGTGTGTAGATGGACTTGACATAAAATAATTTTTTGATAGTTCTGTCATCAAATTCTTATTTTTATTGTTGTTTTTTAAAGTGCGAAAGTTGCCAGATAATTATGATGTTAGACGATTTCATGACATAACTGATTTCTAAATGTAAATACATTGGATTTGACGTTTTGGCTCTGAAATGAATCTATCCATTTCTCTATTTAGGAGAATGACATCAGTATGTCCTGATACAAAATAAACATTTAGAAAACACCTGCATCTTTCTAAATATTCCAGACTGGCATAGTTTCTAAAGATGTCAGGTTTCGTAATTTTAATCATTCCCAAGATACATTCAGAATTTTTTGAGGCTCGGGACTCATTGAAACTTCGCGAATCGTAGATTTCCGTAATCTCCAAATTTTTCGACACATTCCGAATTTTCAAAGTTTCCAAGATTTTCACGAACTTGAGTTTTCTAAATTCAAAGGTTCTTGAGATTTCAAAATTTTTCAAAATCATAATCGGTTATCACAATTTTCTGAAATGAAAATATTTTATAATAGTGATAATATCTAATGGCATTTCCGATTTTCAAATGTTCAGAAGCTTTTGATTTTCAAGATTTACCAAAATTTTCAACATTTCCAAAACTCAAAACGTACAACATTTTTTTAAATTCACACAAATTTACAGATCTACGTTCTGCGTAAGGAGCGATTTGTTATCCTTCGATCACAGGGGAAAGCTTAATGGCACCTTCTTTTTAGGAAACATAAATCAAATATAACTCTCAGAAAACACTAAATGTTTCAAGATTGTATTGAAATGTCGAAGCTCCTGAGTATATTTGCCACAACTCTGGTCATTTTCACGTTTAGAGTACCATTATTGAGATATTGTCTCAACTTACCAGACTACAATTTCAAAGGCAAATAAAGAAGTAAAAAAATCTAGAATTTTTATTTTCTATACCATAGGAATAACGATGCTGACGTAGCAGACAGTTCTGGATACTCAATATATTTCTACTCAGCATTATTATCTGTATTTTTTTATATGAAACACCTGTCTTATTGCAATATTAAAGCACTAACGGCACTCTCCATTGTTTTATACAGGTTTGGCAACGAAAATGCATAGTAGTTCTTGGAGCAAACTGGAAAAGATATTAAAAATCTGTTTTCGTGGCAACCTCGATATGTTACTAGCTAATATTTTAAAATTGATTTAATATATACGGGGTATTCCATAACTTTGCCATAGCAAACATATATTTATTTAAATAGAACTGCTTTCATTTTATTGCAAATATAAATAGAGCTTCTAAAAACAAAAAGCTTGATATGATATGGTTCCGCCTGACAATTGTTTAGCTATTCGGTCAAATCTCTGAAAAAATGACCAGCTTTGACGGCTTGCAGCTGCGCCATTTTTGAATATATTCAGTTCACATCGAATTTTAGCTGATCTGGAAAAATTTCTGAAATTTCTTTCTATTTATACAGGGTACCTCGGAACGGTTTTCTCAAAAAATTCAAATGGACGACCCTGAATATCAATATATCGTTAAATAGTTTTTGGTGACTTTTTTTGTAAAAGGCTTTGTACAAGTTATTAATTTCAAGAAAAACCAAACACTTTAACCATTAAATTAAATCTTCCATCAAAACAATAACTTTTGTTAACACAACAAAAATAATCTCAGCCTAAAGCAATCAATCGTTAATAAATTGTTCTAATATATTACCTCGATGCAAAGCACTCAAGGCTAGACGCCTGTTGAAATTATCTTGCACGTCTAATAGGCTTTGTCTAGGTATCCGCTTAAAAAAACTCGCTTATAATTACGATGTTTCATGTCTTCGGGTGTTGTAGGTTTGTGCTGCTAATTTACATGGCCCCAGAGAAAGAAGTCGAGAGGGGTCAGATCGGGAGATCTCGCTGACCAACTGATCGGTTCGCCTCTCCGTATCCAACTATTGGGGTGCCAGCGTACTTCCGTACCGCTCATTGGTAATTAAGCGGGGCACCATCATGTTGATACACAGTGTTATTAAATTTACATTCTCTTGTAAAAGAGGTTGCCCAAGTTGCTAAAACAACGTGTTTGTGGAAAAATACTGGACAGAGATAAAGCGTCTAGGAATCAACTTCACTACATGGAAGGTATTATTTTCAGAATGAATGACTGTCTCGGGGTAAAATGAGTGTTAAGCTCACCCACCGTACTTCTCGCGCCATCTAGTGAGCGGCGCTTCAACGCATCAACCGTTTGCTACTGGCCAGGCGGTTACCCTACGTTACCGACCGGGCGAAAAATCTACAGGTTTTTTTGTTACCAACCGGTGACGCAAGAAGAAGAGGGGATGATGGTGCCACGAGAGACAGACATTGTTGTTCACGTATATACAAAGTATTGTACCCTACATTTTCTGTTATAAACCTTCGTAAAGCGAAGAACGTATAGTTATTTCATCGGTAAACCCTCCGAGTGAGTGCTTTACACGTTGGTCCTTCGAGCCACGATCAGTAACGTAAGAAAACGACGAAGTAAAGAAGCCACGCCACACCACGACCACGAAGCCACGCCACGACACGACCACGAAGCCACGCCACGACCACGAAAGCTAAAAGTATTGAAACCAGATGATTGAGTCAGAAATACCTGCTGTAAGTCTGTTCCTTATCACTTCCTTGTCTCGTTGATTCAAAATCAGGTCAATCAGTAGTGCAATCAATCAGTCATATCGTCTAGTTGAAAAAATGATCGATCCAGCTATGGATTCCGATTCCACAAGTGAAACTGCACAGCAGTTACGGCAGCTGCTCATCAAGCGAAGACAAATAAAGGGTTCACTAACGCGTTTTATAACGTATCTAGAAAACTTTGATAAAAGTGAAATAATTCAATTAGAGGCGCGTTTAGAGCAAGCCACGGGATTGTTAGACAATTTCAATACAGTACAAGATGAAATAGAGATTCTCAGTGAAACTGAGTTAAGTTCAAGTGAGAGAGCCACCTTTGAAGACAGGTATTACAGCGCAATAGAGAATGCACACAGATACACAAAAGCGAGCAAGCAAATAAACACAGAACCTTCATCAAACGTGGGCCTCTCACATCACCAGTTGCATTCTGTCTCAAATACAAGATTTCCAAATATTGAGTTGCCAAAGTTTCATGGTGAATATGAAAAATGGGGTCAGTTCAGGGATATGTTTTTGGCCTTAGTTGACAGAGATCCTACGTTAGATAATGTCAAAAAATTCTATTATCTGATGAGCTGTCTAAAAGGAGAAGCCGCAAGAGTAATCGAAAACATGGAAGTCACAGGAGAGAATTATGATCATGCATGGCAGTTATTAAAATCTCGATATGAAAATAGTACAGTTATCATAAAGAATCATGTTCGAGAATTAGTTGAAATGCCATCGGTAACTAGAGATCCTCACTCCCTTAGAAAATTAACAGATGACCTTCAAAAGCATTTGAGGTCATTAACTTCCTTAGGCGAGCCTGTGACACAGTGGAGTACTTTGCTAATTTATTTAATCACAAAAAAACTCGATCCTTCATCGGAAAAGTCGTGGGAGGAGCACGTAATCTCACGTCAAATTGAATCGCCTGGTATAGATGATTTAATCAAATTTTTAAATGCTCGGTGTCAATTGCTTGAGGCCATATCGCGTGAAAAATCTGATAAATCCACAGGCAGAGCACAGAATACATCGGTTAACCACAAGAAACCTGTAAGCTTGAATAGAACATTTTCGGGCGCAGCAATCGAAGCATCATGTGTGTATTGTAACGGTCAGCACGCGATTTACTTGTGCGATAAATTCAAAGCATTACCAGCCGCATCTTTGCGCCAAGAAATTCAAAAATTAAAATTATGTTGGAACTGCCTCCGACAAGGCCACCAGAAGGGTGAATGTCGTTCACGGGGGTGTAAGCGATGTGGCGCCAGACACAACACGCTGTTGCATGAATCATCTCATCACAATGCGGTCCCTGCATCGACGTCGTCTGCCACAGGGTCGGCACTGCTCTCGAGTTCTGAATCAGCGGCTACCAGTGGCGTAGCAATCGCTAAGGGTTCGAGTAGCGCAGTACAAAAAAATGATGATCAGTCGACAGGGTTGCTTGCGGGTAGCTGTGTGGACCTCAAAAACAGAGTTTTATTATCCACGGCGATAATTTTACTCAAAGATGCGGAAGGGCGATGGCACGAATGTCGCGCTTTACTTGATAGCGGATCGCAACCGAACTTCATCACGAAACGCACGGTGGAATTGTTGAAATTAAAGCCTATGAATAGTAGAATACCGGTATTAGGTGTAGGCAGTTCTGTTCCAAAGGCATGTCAAGTGGTATCTACAGAGATAAGGTCTACCTGCACGACGTTTTCTACAAAGCAAACGTTGTTAGTGTTGGAAAAAATAACCGAGAATCAGCCGAGCGTATCTTTCGCCCCAGAAAACTTGCGTATACCGTCCAGCGTACAGTTGGCGGACCCACGTTACCATAAATCGTCAGAAATCAATGTTCTCTTGGGAGCAGGATTGTACTTAGAACTATTGTGTTCTGGTCAGATCCAATTAGGGCCAGGACTACCCGTTTTGCATAACACGGTATTAGGCTGGATTATATCGGGGAAACTTGAGCAGGAACAATCCGATAGTACGGTAGTGTGCAATCTCGCCGTTAGCACGAGACTTGAAAGCCAGATCGAAAAATTTTGGCTCGTAGAAGAAGTCTCTAGACACAAAACAGAAATACCCGAGCACGATGAATGCGAGACTTTATTCAGAAAAACAACGCGACGCGACGAACGCGGACATTTTGTTGTCACCTTACCAATAAAAAACAATGTAACAAAACTGGATTGCAACTTACATAACGCGATAACTCGATTACATGCAATGGAGCGAAAATTCAGCAAAAATCCATCATTTCGAGAAGAATATGTCGCGTTCATGAAAGAATACGTGTCGTTGGGCCACATGTCGCGAATAGCTGAAACGGATATTACCCCTAGTATCGGGAATACCTTTTATTTACCTCATCACGGAGTATCGAACCCAGCGAGTACAACGACAAAATTGCGCGTTGTATTCGACGGTTCAAGCAAATCAAATAGCGGATTATCGTTAAACGACACATTGATTATCGGGCCTAAGATCCAACAAGACCTGTTTGACATCCTAGTGCGATTTCGAAAATATAGCGTAGTGTTGGTTGCTGACATTGCCAAAATGTATCGGCAAGTAGGTGTTGAAGAAGGTCAGCGTGACTTGCAGCGAATTGTATGGCGTGAAAACACAAGTGAAGACATAGCTCATTATAAGTTAAATACAATCACGTACGGCACGGCATCGGCATCTTTTCTCGCAGTTCGCTGTTTACAACAAGTTGGTCAAGATAATCTCGAAAAGTATCCTAAGACTAGTAAAGTTATCCTAAATGACTTTTACGTCGATGACCTGATCAGTGGATCAGACTCGGTAGATGACGCAAAGCAGTTAAAAAATGAATTAGCCGCTATACTTGACTCGTATGGGTTCCCGTTGAGGAAATGGTTGTCAAACCGCGTCGAGGCGTTAGAGCAAACAGTTAACAACGAATCTAATACGTTTCAGCTGAATAACGATGAGACGCGCAAAACATTGGGTGTATTTTGGAATGCCCAATCTGATGTATTCAAATATACAGTCGAAATAGATCAGTTCGTACTAAAGCGCATCACGAAACGAGGTATTTTATCCGCCATCTCGAAGATATTCGACCCGTTAGGGATACTCAGCCCAGTGACCGTAACCGTGAAGTTGATGATACAAGAGCTTTGGCAGTTAAAAGCGGGATGGGATGACATAGTCACTCCTAAGGTTTCAAAAGGTTGGACTAAGTTCATAAGTGAGTTATCGTCTATACAAGAAATCGAAACACCCCGACAAATTATTATGACAAACGCAACTCGAATCGAGATTCACGCATTTTGCGACTCATCACAGCGGGCATACGGCGCGAATCTTTATGTAAAAAGTACCGGACCACAAGGTTCAACCGTAAATTTGCTGTGTTCAAGATCTCGGGTTGCACCGTTAAAGGCTATAAGTCTGCCACGGCTCGAGTTATGTGGAGCACTCCTAATGGTACGGTTGGTTAGTAGAGTCATGCAAACTATTGATACGCACATTAATCAGATTTTCTACTGGACAGACAGCACAATAGTCCTGTCCTGGATCTCGGCTCCACCTATCAAGTGGAAACAGTTCGTAGCGAACCGTGTCACAGAAATACAGAATGTAAGTAATATAACCCAGTGGAATCATATCTCGTCTCAGGATAATCCTGCAGACATCGTGTCGCGAGGTCTCAGGGCCCCCGAACTCGCTACATGTGAGCTCTGGTGGCATGGGCCATCATGGTTAGCTGAGGACGAGCAGTCCTGGCCAAGACCTAGTTTTAAAACTGCATCCAATATTGAAAATAGTGTTTTGGAGGCACGAAAGTGTCAGATCTCGCTAGTTGCGCGTACCGTTGACCATACTATTTTCGAAAGAGGTGCGACATTATATAGACTGCAAAAAATCATAGCCTTCTGTAAGCGATTTACACACAACGCAACATCGCCACCTGCCCACCGCAAATCAGGTCCCATAACTAACGAAGAATTTAATGAAGCACTACTTATCTTAGTCAGGCAAGCTCAAGCCCAAGACTTCACCACGGAAATGGAATGTTTATCTCGGAATAAGAACTTGCCTAAGATCTCGCGGATCCAAAATTTAAGTCCATTCCTCGACCAACAAGGTTATTTGCGGGTTGGAGGCCGTTTGACCAAGTCTGACTTACCATTTGAAACCCGACATCCTCTTATATTAGGCTCAAAGCATCGCCTTACTGTGTTATTGATTAAGCACGAGCATCACCGGCAGCTACATGCGGGAGCGCAAGCTATTTTAAGTTCACTAAGACAGCGTTTTTGGCCAATTGGTGGAAAAAGTACTGTCAGAAACGTCTTGAATAAGTGTTTGACCTGTTTTCGAGTGAATCCTACCACGATTGTACGCAAAATGGCGGATCTGCCGAAGGATCGAGTCACCGTCAATCGGGCCTTTTTGATAACGGGAATAGACTACGCTGGACCCTTTCAAATAAAAGATGGCCGCCTACGGAACCGTGCTATAATTAAAGCCTATTTGTGTATCTTTGTATGCTTTACCACTAAAGCAGTACATTTGGAAACAGTGAGTGATCTTAGTGCCGACTCATTTCTTGGCTGCTTAACTAGGTTCACGTCCCGTCGAGGTTTACCTCGGATTTTATACACCGATAATGCAACTAATTTTGTTGGTGCTCATAATAAATTGAAAGAAATTTATGACGCACTTGTTTTAAATATTCAAGACCCCAGTGTAGTCAAATTTTTCCTAACCAACAATACTGAATGGAAATTTATTCCGCCGCGATGTCCCCACCGTGGAGGCTTGTGGGAGGCTGCCGTAAAGCGTGCCAAGTTCCACCTATCTCGCGTACTTGGAAAGAAAATCTATACTTTTGAACAGCTAACCACAATATTTGCGCAAGTGGAAGCTATATTGAATTCGCGTCCTCTGACACCCCTTTCTGCTGACCCTTCCGATTTGTCTACCCTTACACCCGGCCATTTCCTTATCCACGAACCCTTAACTACCATCCCATACACAGACTTGACGACTACACCGATGAATCGGCTGACTCAATACCAATGCCTACAGCAAGCTTACCAACTGTTTTGGCATAGATGGTCCAAGGAGTACCTTCAACTATTGCAAGTTCGGACCAAATGGCTCAAGGCGGATACGCAAGAAATTCATGAGGGAAAGCTAGTTTTACTTCTCGACGACAACCTGCCTCCCATGCTATGGAAACTGGGACGCATCACCAAACTACACCATGGACAAGATGGAGTTGCCCGCACTGTAACCGTGCGCACTGTCAATGGAGAAACCACGAGAGCTGTGCAGAGAGTAGCCCTTCTACCAGTTGAAGATTTTCCTAAGAACAGTGTTGAAAGCCCTGCTCATCAGGATCTTTCAAGGCCGCCGGTATGTTAAGCTCACCCACCGTACTTCTCGCGCCATCTAGTGAGCGGCGCTTCAACGCATCAACCGTTTGCTACTGGCCAGGCGGTTACCCTACGTTACCGACCGGGCGAAAAATCTACAGGTTTTTTTGTTACCAACCGGTGACGCAAGAAGAAGAGGGGATGATGGTGCCACGAGAGACAGACATTGTTGTTCACGTATATACAAAGTATTGTACCCTACATTTTCTGTTATAAACCTTCGTAAAGCGAAGAACGTATAGTTATTTCATCGGTAAACCCTCCGAGTGAGTGCTTTACAATGAGTTTTGTTGTTCAAAAAGAATTCATTGTTTTCGTAGAAGATCTGATTTTAAGTCTAAATGTGGAATATATTTTTTCTTGGATTTATGGGATAACTCGAAAAAAGTGATATAAACCTCGTTTAAAAAAAAGTTCTCAAGAAAAGCTATTTAATGATGTAGAAATATACAGTTACTTTTGCGCTCTGAGATAACCTGTATAAATAGAACAAAATTTCAGCACTTTCCGCAGTTCATTAAAAATTAATAATAATAAAATTTTGTGAACTAAAATTCATCTAAATACCTTAAAAAATGGTGGAGCTGTGAGCCATCAAAATTGGGCATTTTAGACGTTCCACTAAAAATCTTAATCAATTGGCAATCAAAACAATATGTTATATGATATCAAACTTCTTGATTTAAGAGGCAATAAAGTATACGGTATTCAAAAAAATGCATGTTTGCCACGGACCGCTTGAATATCAAAATAATTTTAAAATATCCACTAGTAACATCAAAATTACCACATAAACAGATTTTAGATATCTTTTTCAGTTTGCTCATAAAAATACTATCTATTTTCTATAAATCTTCACGGCACCTCCTTTTTCTGATACGTAACCAAGAACTCTGAAAAACGCAATATTTTTCTAGACCCTATTGAAAAATCGAAGTTCCTTACTATATTGCTTATTTCAGGGACTCATTTGTCACAATTTAATTACCTCTGGTTCTTTTCACGTTTAGTGTACCGCGTGTACAGCTTTATTGAAATTTTTCTCTACTTACCAGACTACCAGTTCCAACAGAGATATGGTAAGTGGGCACTTGTAAGTCCATGATAGAATTAATAGTCTTTTGGAAGAGCCACTCCTACTATGCTTTATATTCATTAGATGCTTCTGTTGTGCTGTCGTCGCGGTACTCAAACTGATGGAGCTGCTGCTTTTGCTACGATACGCCGCGAGAGCAATTTTAAGTTGAATGAAGGTGTAAATGGGAGCTTGGGACGGACGTACCTGAGCTCTGTCAAAAATGGAGAAAAAGCTTTGTCACGTGCCAAAATCACGTAACCTTTGTTTTTACTGTTTTGACCACTTTTGAATAATTTGAATTTCTCTTCATTGATTATAGGTGTGGAGTACCGATTCTTAGACCTAACCTTTTTCAATGATTTTCGTTTTTCAAATTGCATAGTGTATTGATTGAGAATTTCACACGTATTACATATTTCTTTCTCAGCGACTTAATATTGTATTAAATCTTTTGGACACTAATGTTATAGTACTATTAACTACTATCTTAGAAATTTCCTCATAAAATATTGTTGGTCCCTCGTAGACAGATTTGGTTCTGCATACAGTCTGCCTATTGGTAACCAGCGCGCCATCTTGTGATTTTTACACGTACTAGCCTTATATGAATGTTTACCTTCCTATCAAGATACCTTCTGTTAAAATTTGCCTTACCTTCTTTACCGGCTTTTATCTGTTCCTTTTGATGTTCTGTCGAACGTGCCTTTTTCAGGGCCACTTATTCAACCTTCTTCTAGGGGATTGCGTGCGCAGACGGTCCAGCGCCATTTTATTTCTGCTGTAGTTTTGGTTGTGTGCGGGCGTTTCTTTCGTTAACTTCCAGGTCTTGGGATACTAACGCCGCAAGCACCAGTTTATGGAGTAGTACCCTTTTATTCTGTACCTTACGTTTAGTTGTTTTGGTTTGGGTCCATCTTCGAATGGGATTTTTACCTCCAGCGGTAAGTTCTCTTTTGTAAACCATTGGTTTACGTCCATTAATGCTTGTCCTGAAGAAGTTTGTTCAATATCTGATTCCTTTCAGTGGAAAGCCATTGTGGAGAACTAACATTCACACTCCTCCAGCTTTGTTTTGTAGCTGCTTTGTAGCTGTTTCGCAGCCGATTTTATTGGAAGCATCTCTTCCCCTTTATAAAAACCCTGATGTGAACAGGTAAAACATCATTTTAATTGGGTATTTTATAGTTATTGATATATTGATTGTTGCTGACTGAAATTCTTAGTGTGTTCTTGATTTTGTTTGGCATTTTACTAATTCAAATATAGAGTAGTGCCTACATGTTACTGTCTTTTGGCCTTATTACATTACATTAATCATGATTTTGAACTTTGAGCTGCCATAACTTATTTTAGAACAAGGGATAACTTTCTGAGGGTATATCACTTTCATATATTTTTATATTTTCTTGCCCTTGCAGAAAGAAAAGTAAATTTCTAGTAACAGAGAATGTACATGGTTTTTTCCTCAAGTTTGAGTCTTTTAAATGTGTTGTTCTGTCTCAGACATAGAGTAGAGAGTAGATTTTTAAACAGTCCTTTTCTCTCTCTAGGTTTTTTTTATACCGTAAATTTTGGAAACGAGGCAAGCAGCCCCTACCTTGTGACGTTTCTAACGTTACTGCTCACTACTGGCCACTGATTTTTGACCTGAGCATTTGTAAGCTGTGGACATCTCAGCTATACCTAGAGCTGTACCTGGAAGAAGACCATTATCCAGATAAGACCGTTGTCCAGATAAGCCTAAGCGTTAAACTATTTGTAAGGTCTATATTTGTAAACCCTTCGTACGTGTACCATGGTAAACGTTTTGCAGGGTTCGTTATTACGGTCTATTAATTTTATTGTCAGGTAGTTCTTAATAACATCCTTTCTTTTAACTTGCATTCCAGAGGTGAAGCATATATTATGTGCTGCTTGTTTTGACAATATATTGTGATTTTTTTTTTAGATATCTTGTTTTATTTGGCTCTCTGTATACAGTTAATTAGGTGTCATCATTAGTATTAGTTTTTTTTTCTCTTTTTGTGGTGGTCAGGCAAAACAAGTTCCGACTAAAAACTCGGGGATTTGTAGCAGCTCTTGAGTCACTGGCGCTCTTAACACCCCCCCCCCCCCTCCCTACTCTCCGATTTATTGAGCTAGGGCCTAAACTTGCACGGCACTTGACAGCTGTTTTGCATTGGCCGACCCTTAGATTTCATTTATAGTAATTTACTAATTTATTAATATATTTAAAAAAAAAGAAAGGGGAATAACACCACCATTTCCTCATATTTATCAAAAAAAGCGTGGTAGCTTATTAGATAGATAGATCGATATTTTTATTTAACCTGTAAGCTGTACATAACAGATAGGTTATGCTAGGAATAGAAGCTGAAAAATAATGTGTATATACAGGGTGTTGCAATATTCCGTAAGCAGCAGCGGTGGCCGCAGTAGTAGACTCTTCGGTCTCCTGATCCGTCGCCGTACCATTTGCGGGTTCGAACCCCGTCCCAAGAGAAAATTTTCTCTTATCTATGGATGTTGTGATTGTCCGTAAGTAATAGATGGTCTCTGACTGTCGAACGCAGAGGTACCACCCGGCGGATCTAGTAGGCGGGGCCAGAATGTGTGCATGTTGCATGCATTTATTTTAACAGTGAGTAGATCTGATCAAAAGAAATGTTTTTTTCTTTTAACATTTTTCTGGTAAAATTAAAGTAACAAAGTTATAGCCCTTTAGAAGTTTGAGTACCGCCCCGTCTCAATAATAATATTATGTGCTCGTGTTTGGCAACAACCGATATAATCCGCCTCATCGGTTCATCGCATCGGAAACAAAAAAGCGAAAGAATTTGAAACGCTTATCACGATGTTTTTACTACAATTTTATTCAGTTGTATTCAGTCAATGTGTCAGTCGGTAACGCGTGAGTGAATAGTGGTGTTTGTTGTCAAACGAAATAGAAAATGGCACATGTTTACGAAAATGCTGAACTTGTGGACATGATTCTTATTTACGGGGGGGGAGCCTTTACAAAATGCTGCCGCGGCATCACGGATTTATGCGGATCGGTTTCGCAATCGAGTGCAACCAACCCCCCGTGCCTTTGTTAATGTAGTACAAAGGGCTCGTGAATCAGGTGACTTAAGACCTCACAGGGGAGGGCATGCCGGTGCTCCAAGACCGCACGATCAAATACAGGTCCGCACTGAAATACTTGTCGGGAGGATACTTTATAAAACCAGGTAACATTTTTTTTTTATTCTTACACACATATTTTGGTTTATCTTCCTTCTACAACCATTATCTGAAAATTAATGACTCAACTTCAAATATATATATATATACAGGGTGGAGCATCGAAAACGAAACAGACGCATTTACTGGCAGTTCAGTTTTTTTTTGAAAAACACTCAGACCCGTCGATTTTGTTTTCGAGGGGGGCACAAGTTTGGCAAAAAATCACGCTAACACGTGCAGCCCCCTGGGCGGGGGTGACACCAACCCTAAAATCTTAAATGGAAAGGGGGGTCGAGTGATACCTTATTTTATAGGTCTTTCAATTCTCGTTATAATGATATAAAATTAATGTACTTCAGTTCAGTAGTTTTGAAGAGTAAATGTTGAAAATGGCCATCATGACTCTCCATGCAATACTTAATAAAGATTTTGCTCAAAACGTTGCCGCACATTTTGCAATATTTGAGGAGTAATTTGAAGGCACTCATTCACAATTCTTTGTCGCAGGTCTTCTAATGATGTTGGCTGAGTAGCATAGAGTTTGCTTTTTAAGTGACCCCACATAAAGAAATCCTAGGTGATAAATCTGGCGATATTGGGGGCCATTCAATGGCACCTCTTCTACCAATCCATCGATCTGGAAACGTCTGATCTAAATATTGTCGAACACGTAATGCGTAATGTGGTGGGGCACCATCCTGTTGGAACATCAACCTATTCGGAATGTACCGCCGACCAGTCTGATTTTCAATTATGGCTGTTAATGCAGGATCTATGGCGTCTTCCATTTCATCGGTCAAATTTCCAGGTAAGGAAAAAGGACCAACTACATGATCGCCAAAAATACCAGCCCAAACATTTAATGTTTGTCAAAGGGATTTTAGAAATTCGGTAAATTCGCAAATTAGACATGAAGTAGTCAGCCAACAATGCTCTCGACTGGCTTTTTGTGTGCCGGATACTTATTGGAAGATGGTTATAGAGCCGACAACCTGCATTATGAGGCGACTTCATGAAGTTGGTATGGTTGTATTTCTTTGAGCATAATTCATTTCTATTTCTCGTTTCATATGTGCGATTGAAGTGATATTATTTTGAGGGATAAGGATTCTCGGAGCAGACAGGCAGTGTGCTATCTGCTAACTGCCTAGAGGTATATACAAATTTACTATTTCGCTGCTGCTTCAGTTTAAAAAACAATAAAGAAGTTGAAGAAATCATCACTAAAGCTCATCCTGGTAGATTATAACATTTTTGATACCGCAGGAACTGTCATAGAAAAAAGAACACCCAGTAATGATCAATTTATTACAGCAATTTTTTGCATACATGTCTCTAACGGTTAGGTAAGTAGTTGATCCAAAATTTCTCAAAGATCCAAC